AGATCCAATCCAGAGACTCTGCCCGACTGCGACTAAGTCAACCCATTCTACAGGAACGGTCTTCCCAAGAATATACCAAACTATCTGGAAATATTGTGTACACGTTCTTGTGTCAATACATTTTGTTTCAGTACATTTTGTGTTGTATTATTATTATTCCATACTTTATTCAAGTTTCAACATGTATCAACACGGTAATTTTCTCTCTTCCTTTAATAACGACACGAAAAAACATGTCCGTGAATATGAAAGGACCCATCTGAAAACATGTAGACAAAACTTAATTTTTCAATGAAAGATGTCTCAAAGAAGACATGCTGCCAAAATATATGCAATATATATATATATATATATATATATATATATATATATATAAAATAAGTCCTTATTGTATCATCAGCCAAGTTCACCTTGATGATCCCATGTGGTGAAATCTAGGTAGGTAGTACCTGGCTCATTATGATTTATTTTATTTTAGCATTACTTAGTGTATTGAGTATTCTTTGTTTTAACTTATTATTCGCTGGAAGGTTTTTCATGTACCAGAGATTTAAGGTACTGGACGATTTCTTTCGCCCAGTTTGGAGTTTTCTGGTACTTTCTTTTTTTTTACTTTTTCCACGGATGTTAATTTATTTGAAAATTGTGCTATCCAGGTTTTATTACCTACCGAGTTTAAATAAATGTACATCATGTATATATATATATATATATATATATATATATATATATATATATATATATATATATATATGCACATCTAAAATTTGCATATACAAACATATGAATATGTACATATGAGTTAATATATTAATGAATAAAATTTTGCATTGCTCGAGTATAGACAGAAAAAAATAATGGATGAGATTTTATAAGTTTCTGGTGATATTTGCACCAGTATTCAATATTCATTTTTCCTTTCTCGATTCCAGCATATTTCTTTCTTTCTTTCTTTCTTTCTTTCTTTCTTTCTATCTATCTATCTATCTATCTATCTATCTCAGTCTATTTGTTTGCTGTCATGTATGTATGTATCTACCCGTTAAGGATATTGTTTTTTCTATCTTATCGTTCTCATACTGTATCGAATAACACACACACACACACACACACACACACACACACACACACATATATATATATATATATATATATATATATATATATATGTACATACACACGATTATACCCGAATCTACATAGGTTTCCTGCTGTCTATTTATCTATACTTACCTACATTCATACATAGGCACTTTTTCAATATTCATATATTTTCTTAAATATTTAATGCTATAAATTCTGTCATTTATTCAAATGTCCATTTGCAGGACATTTTGTCTTTCCGAAAATACAAGATTCAACTGTGTTGCTTCTTCGTGAGTATATTTGCAAATTCTCCTTGAATCTTGTCAACGAAAAGAAAGAAACATGAAATCTTTTAAAAAATGAAGATAAACATTGATATTCATAAATTTCCCGTTCTCAAGTTGTTTCAAGCATTATTGTCGATGGTTATTCACTGTGCAGAGAATCCATTCGCTCGTTGATGACAATGATTTCTTATAATTATTCTAATTAAAACTAGGCATTTTCATTTCGTTTCTATATACGAGGTTTAATCAAAAGTTAATATCTCTTCTTCTTTAATTACAACAGATTTAATTCTGTAAACACAAACGCAAGGCCAACATGAACAAAAAGGTATCAAGATTAGATATTTAGCCCTCAATATAATTTCCTTCCTTCTCAATAGGGATATTCCACATGACCGGAAACTTCACTTTGTAGAAGTTTTTTTACGATGCTTTCTTAACCATGAACGGGTTCCATCTTTCATATCATCATTCTTGAAAAACTGCTGTTTTCTCTCAACTTCCTTCCTTCGTTTGAGCGTACCAAGCAAATTGTATGATTAACGCAAACCCCGCTTTGAGTTTACGTGGTGTCTGTAAGCATTCTGAAAAGAAACGTTTAACAGACTTTGTATAGCGAAGTGCTTTGAATAAAATCCAGACACCAAGAGGCATCACCTGAGAGCGTTTACAGAATTTTGTAATAGTAAAGCTTACAAACATTGAGCATGTTGAAACACCGATAACCATGGTTAAGGAAGGAACCTGGTCATTATCTAGATGAGAGACCACTTAGAAAAATCACGTGCTGTAAGTGTTTTAATGGGGAATAATTCGGAATGAGAAACCGGTGAGCCGAGTTCACTTTGAATCAAGATCGATATATTCACTCACGTACAAATACCTTTTGGAAAGATATGAATCTATCTTGAAATTGTATCTGAAAAGAATTATTATTATCTACAAAGATTGTTAATACAATATTCACAATATTTACAATCCAAAAACATATTTCGGCCTTAAACAACCTATGACGAGTTGATAAGGCGTAAAAACAACAATGAACACAATCAAAATAATAATAATTGTTTTTCTGTCTATATTTCTTAGATGATGTCTTGTAATTGTTTACACTATCTAAATTGTTCTGACGGTTGCCCTCATCTTTGTTGTTATATTCACGACTTTTCGGTCATTTGTATGCATCAGCCTTCTTCAAGTGATTGGAAATTCGAACGAAATAGATTGTTCTAGTTTCACGTGACATGCCTCTTCTGGATGCATCAGTATCAGTTATCTCCCTTTAACGCAGATCTCCAAGTTTTTAATCACCTCTTCTGCTTGGTATCGAACTCACAACTGTTTGGACTAAATCACTGAATTCAATCAATTCTTTTATCCACTGGGCTATAAATTCTATCATTTATTCAAATGTGTCCTTGAGTATAAAATAGGTCTATAACTTAATTTTATTTTGTTGTTCTTTGAATGAAGGAATATATATATATATATATATATATATATATATATATATATACACATATATATATATATATACACACACACACACATATATATATATATATATATATATATATATATATATATATATATGTGTGTGTGTGTGTGAAAATATATAGAAATAGGAAGAACTGGTTAGGTAAATAATCCAAAGTCCCTTAGTATTTTAGTTATTATTTTTAAAAATAGTGCTCGATACAAAAGTAGAGCAGAAATATAATTATTTATTTAAAAATATGATTCCAAATCGCTACATAAGAGGTCTCATGTTTCAAAACTAGAGCCGAAAACTTCAATATAATCCTTTAAATTAAATTGAGTTGAAAGTAAAATGGGCTCTGTTCCATCCTCAAGCGAAATTTTGTTGGAATAACGTATATCTGAAATTTACTTGTTTTGTAATTGAAATCAAAATCCCCATGGTAACAGCTATGGTGAATTTTCTAAAATGGGTAGGCGAGTGTAGGGTGTTTATATTAAGAAGCGGTATAGAGATACTTTCAAGGTGTCAAGTCGGGGAAAGGTGGGGGTGTCAAAATGAAACGGAAGATGTATTGGCCATCGTCTAGTTTGTCTATGGAGATTTATTTATTTATTTTATTTTATTTTATTATGAAAGGAATTGTGCATATAAAAAAAAAAAAAAAAAAACTTTCGTAACGTTTGTTTTTGACGACTTCATAAAGGGTTATCTTATATGTAATGTATTTAAACTACTAATTTAGGCTATGGATTATGAAGTGTGTTATGTAGTATGCATGTTTGTAGTTAATTATTCCTACTATGAATCTGATGATTGGGCTATTTGTTAAACAAGTTATTGACAAGGCTAGAATATGTAAAGCTTGGGATGACCCATGCCCTTTGTGCCTCCATGAAAAATTGCACATCATTAAACTTCTAAATAATAATAATCTATTAAATAATAGACACGAGTGAACGGTTTTTTGTAGGCATCATCAGATTTTTGGTTTGAATTATTAGATAAAAAATTTATATAACTTGTTTAACAAATAAACATATATATACACCTATACATGCACATATACACATACAAACAGACATATATGCATAGGTACATATGAATTAATGTATTAACGAAAATCTGTTATGTTTCATTGCTCGATTTGAATAGAAAGAAAATGATGAATGTGACGTTATAAGTTTCTGGCGATATTAGCACCAGTCTGCAATATTCATTCTTGCTTTTCTGGATTCCATCATTTTTCTTTTCTTTTCTATCTATCTATCTATCTATCTATCTATCTATCTATCTGTTGATAGAGTGATAGAGTTTTATTCTGCTATTTACATTCACTGAGAAAAGATTAGAGGGATTATATCAAGGAGGTTTTTATAATTGATCTTACGGTCGAAGTTTCTCCTCATTTTCTAAATCTCTAGGACATATTAAAAAGAAGAGAAAGCATGGTAAAGCTGTGAATAATCTATTAATGAGTTTATGTGAATGGATTTCCGAGAAAGAGAACGATGGCTCATTAAGACTGAAAAATCACTTAGATGCAAGTAACTCAACATGTTTTCAATCAATGTAATAGTAATCATTTTATCAGCTGTAACTAGAACATCAATCGTTTTTTAACTTCTTATTCTCAATAGTAGCTGGCCTGCCACTATTGGGTCAATTACTAAGATCAGATTTTCCTTTCTCTTTGCAATTGCTTTACAGTGCAGCTTTTTCATAGATATTCCTTATCATACTATGAAATTAACCGCCTACGTCCTGAATAGACTTATCCTTTTGTCTCTCGTGTCTCTTCAATCATGCCTCTCCACATCTTTCTATCCTTCGTAGCTCTAAATAATATTTGTCTCATTACTACCCCTTTCAGTTCCTGTTCTGCCTTCGATTTACACAAATTCATTAGTAGGCTACACGTTGGTTTCTCTGTCCTTCCTATGGTCAAGATGTCCTGTGAGTGCCAAATTATCCAATCCTCTTTTTCCTCCTTTTGTGACTTAGAACTTTAATCTGTCTCTTTCTGATTTTAAGTGTAAGTGTTCCATTTGTTTCCATTTTCTTTACAACTTTCTCGTTGATCAGATGTTTTGTCCATGGTATTCTCAGCATCCTTCTGTAGAACCACACTTCTACCGCCGCAAATCTCGTCTTTATGTGTCAGGAAATTGTCCAACATTCACTGTCGTATAGGAGAAATATTATTAAAGCATTCTTTTTTGTTGTTTCTTCTGAAAATTTCATGTTTCTTAATAAGTTTCTTAATATTTTTCTTAGTTCTTTTTTTTTTTGGAAAGTGTTATGGTCCGGTTCCTTGTACCACGGTGATAGTCCAAGGTAGAACCAATAAAGAAGAACTCGAACACAGGTATGGAATAGCACAGATATATTACAAACAGGAATATATACAGAGAAGTAGAAGTGTCAGTATGAAAAATCAGGTTTAGTAGAGAACAATGTAGTCGCGACCAGTATCACTATTCCAATGTCTTGCAGTAATTGTCTGAACGTGACTCTGTTTCGGACTGACTCTGACTCGAATCTTGACTTGAACTACTGACTCGAACTACTGACAATATTCAGTCACCCCACCCCTTGAGGGCGTTATGTGGCACAGTGCCTTTTTAACGTGAGCTGTCCGAGCCCGTGGACTCGGCCCAAAAATATGCCCATTGAACCCGTATAAACGGGCTCAGGGCCGGTTTACCTCCCTGAACGAGACTCCGCCCCTCGGCGTAGCCTCGTTCGGCTTCCTCCCCGGCCGAAGGCAGAGAGTTCAACCGACCTGTCGTTCAAGACTGACTCTTTGCCTACTCCTGATGCGAAGTATTTATTAACTATGGAATAGTCCTTTATTATTATTATGGGTAAGATCCCATAACAGAAAGAATATTTTTTTATTCCAATACATTTGGGGATTTCATGGTCACATTCTTCTTCCTTTAAATAAATTTTTCTATATTTTCTGGAATTTGACATGTTAAATTCGAAGCTAAAGTCTAGTGCTGTTTTACCTGCATATAACCACACATTCCCAAGCGGTCATTCATCTAAATATTTACCAGGCTTGTCATTGCTTATCTTACGATCGTACGTTATTATATGTCTTTGATGTGTGTTGGAAGATGTTCAAGTTTGTCTTTTTGGAATTTATTTTACAATGGCTTTAGGTAGTATTTGTGTGATTCAAACGAATCTGGAATCTTGTGTTTTTTATGGTCCCCTGGTATCTCGGAGACCCCCCCCCCGCTACGCAGAAAGCGATTTTTTATTTTATTTTTAGTTTTGCCGCTCACATCCGACTGCCAGGTTTTGATGCAGAAAGAAATCTTATTCGAAGAAGAGTATGATTATGAAATAATTTAGTATAGTCTCTGAAACATTACTATACGTATTTGTATTGTACGTTAGGTGTTTCTCTTCCTGTAGGCATTTTTTATACTGTCTGGTAGGTATATGAATGTTGCCGGGAATCCACTATCTTTTAGGGCAGTTTCATAGTCTTTCTTACCATCGGTGAATATGGTTTCATTGGAAGAGTTGACGGAAAGTTTAATTGAGGCATCACTAATCTGTCTATATAAGAAGACGAGCTAAGATAAAACGCACATGGCCTGACGATTTGCGTTTAGCATGAAACAGACTGTCACCTCTGGGTGTTGACTTCATTGTACCCTTTTATATTTACATATGCTCTATCCCTGATATTGGAGCACTTCAACCCATAAATATAGCATACGTTAAAATTATATTTTATCATATATATATATATATATATATATATATATATATATATATATATATATATATATATATATATATATATATTTAGGCACAAGTATTCCGTGCCCCCAACACCAAATCTTTGATACGTGAACCCGGTTCCAATAATAAGGGAACACACACTCTACTACATCCCAATTTTTATAAGGTAGAAGTCATATAAAATACAAATTTTATTCTAACCAATGTAAAATAATGAAATATATGCAATATAAATTAATGAATCAGCTAGGAAAACTGAAAATAAATACAATGTATCTAAATAAAAATTAAAGATACATTTATGGACAAAAATATTAAATTTTATATAGTGTTTCTTCGACACTTAGCACAAGCAAGACAAATTCATGGATTTGTAAACAAAAATAAATCCAGAATTTCTGCAAAATATGCGAAAATTTTCCATCGTTTAATAGTCAGTTGTCATTAGCTGAATTTGTAACGTATATTAATGTAGGTAGAAAAAGGCAAGTTAGCGAGAGTCACAATGCACTGACAACGTCTCCACGGGGGTTCCGGTATAGTACGCATCGGCCCTATATATATATATATATATATATATATATATATATATATATATATAATATAATTATTGTTATGGTCCGGTTCCTTGTACCACGTTGATAGTCCAAGGTAGAACCAATAAAGAAGTCCAATACGGATATGGAATAACACAGGTATATTTCAAACAGGAATATATACATAGAAGTAGAAAGTGTTAGTACGAACAATCAGGCTTAGTAGTAAGTGTCTGAACGCGACTCTGTTTCGAACTGCTGACTCGACTGACTGACTCACTCGCTCTGACTGACTGACAGACTCCTGACGGACTTCACTCCAGAGTTCAGATTGAACGGTATTTTGTTACCCCCACCCCACGAGGGCATCATGTGGCACAAGGCTGGTTTAACGTGGGCTCTCCGAGCCCGTGGGTTTGGCCCAAAATATGCCCTTTGAACCCGTATAAACGGGTTCAGGGTCGGTTTACCTCCTCGAAAGAGACTCCGCCCTTCGGCGTAGCCTCGTTCGGGTTCCTCCCCGCCCGAAGGCAGAGAGTTCAACCGATCAGCCGATCAGCCGGTCGCCCGATTTCGGCATGAACTCTCTGCTTCCTCTTGAGGCTCAGTATTTCTTACGTATGGAATAGTCCATTATGTTATTATGGGTAAGGTCACATAACAATAATTAATTGAGAAAAAAAGATACATGTTGGTCATAATTTACTTCGTGAATATTTTTATATTAATCTCTTTAGACCGAAAGTTCTTAATAAATCGAGACAGTCTAGTATAAATGGAGTAGTTTTCTAATAAGTTTTCCACCTGACTTGAACATTATGAACGTCGATTTAAAGTTTTATCTTGTAAATATCACTAAAAGCTGAAAAAAAATCATTTTTGTAGTCATATTCAACAAAACTATTTTTCATATATACAGAACAGAATAAGAGATTTTTACATTATATAATTAAGTAAACATTAGCTGAATTCTGCCAATGCAGCTTGCTTAATACATGTTCATTTACAATCATTTACATTTTTTAATGCTATGTTCTTTCAAAAGGGATGAGATTACAGCTCTCCGATGATTCCATTTTTGTTATCTGTGAATTACTATGCATTCTTGGGAAAGGCGTTGGATTTTTTTCCCCGTTGCTTTCTGTACGGTTTCGCAATCTGTTTTCCTTCTCTTCGAGTCGTTCTGGCTGGAGTGCTCCGTCTAACCTGCTATTTAACCTTTAGCTGGACAGCGAAGAGATAGCTTCATGCTTTTTCTAAGGGTATTTTATGCAAACGTGAACACTAACAGGATAGCACATAATTTGAATTCAGCTCACAATTCCACTTGCCGCGTCAACAACGGTTACATTGTTTGAAATCTGCTACGAGAGTAAGTCAAAAATTATCCGCACTCTCGCCATAACCATATCGTTAGGTTTGTCATACTGCCTTCTGTTCATGCGTACTCATAATTGGTACTACTGTGGTCGCATGATCGAAATTTGAGCTTGATCACGCCAGTCTTCTTGCTTGCTGCTCTTACAGTGTAAACATGACCGATCTGCTAGCAGTGTTCATCAAGGAGGAACAAAAGTAGTGACCCGATTTCTCTGATTTAATTGACGTCAAGAGCTGAAATTCATCGGAGGCTTTTAAGACAATATAGCGACCGTGCACTACCGGGTAGAAGCGTGTATGTATGGATCAGGGAAGTTTAAAAGTGGCCAGACAAACGTGGCAGACGAATCAGGAATCTCGTCATCCTCCAACACCGACGAAAAGATCCAGTAAGCTCGAGAGATGGTAATAGCGAACTGGCAAGTTATCATCGATGAGGTAGCATCTTCTCTGCAGATTCGGATCACTGCTCTTTGTTCCTCGGTGAAAACTGTTAGCGGAGCGGCCATGTTCACACTTTAACAGCAGCCAAAAAACTAGTGTGATCAAAGTCCGATCACGTGACCACAATAGTATCAACTATAAGCACATATGGGCAGAAAGCAGTGTGACAAAACTAAAGATATGTCATAGCGAAAGTACGGCTAATTTTTTTTATTTACTTTTTCGTATATATAGCGGGCCACTGTTGATTTATATATCAACATTGTTTATATTTATCTATATATGAAACAGGAAAGGTACGCGCCGTATTATGTGTTAAAAATATTACAATGTGATGTATGCACATGGTGAAATCGTGACAAATGTGATATATTTGCATTTTCAATCAATATATCTTGTATACGAAGTCAAGAAGGTAAGAAAAAATTAATTATATGTTACAAAATAAACTATCCTTTGGAGAAATATAAAATCGGTTTGTAGTGTTTAAAGACCATAAAAAAAACAATGAACACTGATAATTTTGAATCCAGGTAAAGAAGTCATAGGAAAATAAAATCACGGAAAATGTCACCGATAAAAGTCACAGGAAAAAAAAAAACAAAAAACAAAAAAACAGGACAAGTCAGCACTGTTTCTGCGTCTTTACTTTAATAGGCTTTCTTGTTAACCATAACCCTACCGTATCTCTAAACCTAACCGGAAGACAGCGTGAATAGTGAAAATCTCAGATCTCACTGCTCTTGTGAATCAACAATTCTTGGATTTGGAGAGAAAATAATTTGACGCCTCCTGGAATAGAAATTATTGACAGTAACAAACGCGGTTCCAAAATCTTCTACAATGGTTTCATGGATACCAAAAATGCCACTAACGAAACTAAGTTGTGACTTTTTCTATGGCTTTTTACTTAGTCAAAATTGTTATTTTTCTGTGACTTTATTTCCTTTGAAGTTATTTCTTGTGACTTTATTGACGGCCGCGAAGCGAATTCATCTTTCAGGCCTTAAAAAAGTAATTTATTAGTGAAATATAATTTTGACGCCTTCTTACATGGAAATTATTGACAGAAATAAGCGTGGTTCCAAACTCTGCTACAATGGGTTCATAGATATCAATCATGCCACTAACAAAATTAAGTTATGACTTTTTTTTCAGAAGGGCTTTCCGCAAATAGTCTACGATTAGCGTAAACGTTATCGGCGGGAAAAGTAGAATCGGAGAGCAGAGTTCAAGTTCTGTTGCGTTTAATTTATCACCATATCCAATAGGAAAGAATCCATTTCTACTCCACGCCACGTTAAGCAGCAGGTTACTCTTGGTTCTGAAGCTTTGGTTGGCAGACAGTGTATAAATGTACAACGCATTGAATATTAGTGCCAAAAAAGAAAGCAAAGGGAAAACCCTCCAGCAACTTGAACAAGAATGAATAACAATTCGAAAAGGAACTTGTGGAGAGCCATGATCCGCAACATCTTAAAAAACATGGCATTAAAAATAATCACACACACACACACACATATATATATATCGACTCTCCTGTCGCGTTCGTCGTATGCGGGTCAGGCCGATAAGTCCCCAGGAAACCGACATCCCGACACCGGCACATGAGATTTGATTATAGTGGTGAAGGCCTTGTGCAGGACCAGCCACACTTTTTGGAGGGACGAATACAGAAACCTGGTGCACCGAATGCATGCCACAAGGTTCCCAAACGACCCTCCGCAGGTTTTGAATTCAGAGTTGTCCTTCTCCTAGACCAGTTGCCATCCAAGGCTATAGAACCCAGTCTGTCCTGCTATTTTACCCATAGCTGGAGGGAGATGAAGAGGATACACACCTTTCCCAAGGATATTAGCACTTAAGTGAATGTAATGGATTCGACTGGAATTCGAACTCGGCTCTGCGATTCCTCAATCTATATATATATATATATATATATATATATATATATATATATATATATTATGAAAATATGAAGGAGTGGTTTTGATGAAAATGTCAGTAAAATCATTTTCTAGGTAGTTGAATAACATTTTCAAACGCTCGTGCATACACATGCGCGCTTGCGTAGTCTCTTTGATTCGGCAAATATATAATTTATGGTAAAAAGCACTTTAAAAACTTGAATTCCTTCACTTCAAAATATGTTCTTATATACATCAATATTTGTATCTCAATATCTTACTATATATTCATTATGTAGATAGACAGATTGTCTGATAGATTGATTTATTTGTTTAGAAATTCTTTCATAAAAAATGACTTCAATGTTCGATTTTTATTTTATTTTGTAGGCAAAAGTACAAGAGAATACATCCTGGCCCTTTTCTTGCCACCCTCTTTACTTTTTTAGGAGGGCTTAATTTATTTTTTTATTCATTATTTTTGTCTTTTTAGTTTGATGTCTACTTTCACATCATATTTGTGCTATGTCTCAGGCTTAAACCGACCCACCGATCGACCAACCCACAACCTCAATCAGTTTAAAACTGTTCTTCTTAGCAGAGAAGACAAGTCATTCGCCTTTGTCTGACAAGCGATTTGAGACATCAAACAGATCAGAAAAGTCTGAAATTTATAAAATACAATTATGTACGTAAGATATTTTTTGTCTTCAATAACTCTACACAGACAAAATCGTGCACACAGACATAATCAATCGTTTTCATCCTACCTCCACAACAACCTCCTGCTGTTTTTTTTTTTTCAAAACAAATACCTAAGACTATGATATATTTCCTCTAACTTTCATGCTGCCAAATCCGATTTCAGGTCACCCTGCTCCCCGTCGAACAGTCATTTTTCTCAAGTGAATTGTATACATGCTTTACTTTCACTTTCGTTTCTTTTTTTTTCTGTTTTTTTTTCTTAAAGATGTTTGAATTCCATCTATTCCCATTTTTTTTTTTCATCTCTTATTTTCTCCTGCATCATCATCATCATCATCATCATCTTCTTCTTCTTCTTCTTCTTCTTCTTCTTCTTCTTCTTCTTCTTCTCTCTTTTTAAACGTATTCCTTCAATTTCTTTTTGTTTATTTCTTAGGTTTTTTTTTTTTTTTTAAAAAAGATTTTAGCTTTTCTCTTTGTCACGCCTTCTTTATATCTATCAAGTTATCTATATTTGCTTGTTTTCTCGGTTGCTTTTATGCCTATTTTACTGGGTCTCACGTTTTTCATTCTGAATTTCGCTTTTCTCAGTTTTCTCGGTAATTTCTTTTCTCTATCACACGCCTTCATTGTCTCTTATCATCCTCTTATTTATGTTCTTACATTTATTTGGGAATTTCTATGTCAATCTAACTCTTTTTCTGTCAACCCACTTCTGAATTGTAGTCCTTTTTCTAGTTTCTTTGTAAATCTATCTATCTATCTATCTATCTATCTATCTATCTATCTATCTATCCATCTATCTATCTATCTATCTATCTATCTATCTCTTTCTTTCTTTCTCTCTCTCTCTCTATATATATATATATATATATATTTTTATTTTATTGCATATATTTTGGCAGCATGATTTTATTAAACATGTCGCATTAAATAATTTAAACGTTTTATCTACTTATTTTAATAAGATCCCCTCGTAATACTGACAAGTTTCTTAGTATTCTTATTAAAGGAAGAAAGAAAATTGCCATGTTGATGTCAGCCTTTTTATAAATATATACCAGCACATATAGATATATCAATTTTCATCGATGTAACCATCAGTTTTATGTCGTTCGAATCACCCGCTCTATTTCTTACAGCACCTATATTACCAAGCGGTCGCCTATCTAGGTAATAGCCAGGCTCGACATTGCTTAACTTCGGTGATCGTACGTGAACCAATAAGAAATAAGGAAGGATTAAAAACTGTAATTGCAAATTAGTTTCTTTACTTTTTGAGTGCGAATAAAAAATTAGCAAACGTAAGCTTTTGTTGTTGTTGTTGTTGTTGTTGTTGTTTATTCTTCTTCTTCTTCTTCTTCTTCTTCTTCTTCTTCTTCTATGTGACGTGTCCCTTCAGGAATTAGATGATAATATCTCTCGACAACTTCCGGTCCCTTGTAGCTTTTTACTGAAATTTGCCGTTTCGCTATCTCAACCAATCGCTGTTCTGTCAACCATTTACACAAGATTGTTAGTAGGTTGCTCTCTGCTTTCCTCTGTCCCTCTTGCTTTCAATATTAGTGCAAGTGTGAGTGTCAAAATTTCCAAGCCTTCTTTTCTCATTGTGCCTTAGAAATTTTACTGGTCTCTTCCTGTTATTAAGTATAAGTCACCTTTTTCCTTCCATTTTCTTTTTTACTAAAATTCTTGATATTTTCATCATTCTTCACTATAACCATATTTCTATTGCTTCCGATTCTCTCCTTCATCTCTGTCCAGTATTCACTACCAAAGGAGAACCGATATGATATAACAGTTAAGTAGAGTTTTCTTTGTTTCTTAATACTTTGGAAAACAACTTTGCTATCCCAATGCTGCTTTACATTTCAGTGTTGCATCTTAAGATGATTTACGCCATTTTTTTTAATATCCGGCGATAATTTTCAATTTCTCCGAGTTTTAACTCTATGCCATTAAGAGATGAAAAAAAAGTAAAACTAATTCTGAAAGATTCATAATAATAATAGGTATTTGTTCATCCTGGCCTGCTAATCTCTATATTTTACGGGGAGTTGTACCGTTTTACTGTACTGTACTGTTTACTGTACTATACTGTTTATTGTAGTGTACTATTTACTATACAGTTTTACTAGCTATCAATAAAAATACATTTTGTCAATAGTCTGCATATTTTGTCAACCATCGTGGAATGACAATGACAAAACCTTGGTCAAGTTTTTTAGTCAATATGCAGACAGCAGGGATACTGAATACATTATTTTCCCAAAGAGCAATGAGAGGTTAAGAAAAATCAAGCTTATATATGATTTGAATTCAAATGGCCTATTCCATTTCGAGCACATAATCGATACTCGTTTCCCCAAACCATTACATGACATAATACAAACAGCTTAAACAAAGGTTATTAAGAATTTACTCAGATTTGTTAACTGGTTCATCATATGAGTGATGTGTTTGATGTTTTATTTGTAGTTGAATTAAGCTTCTACTTCAAAATATCCAATTAAGAATAGATTAACTTTCTATTGCGCTGATGTTATATCCAGATTGTTTTTTAAGATCTTTCTTACTGTTAGTTGTGTTAAGAGCTTATTCATTTCGGTATTTCAGTTAAAATAACATTGTTGAATTACAAATAGCTTCTTTCACAAGAAGATAACGTTGTAACAATATGGCTGCTACCAGAACCACATCCAGTATTTTCAGTTACAGGGGCGTGTTCCTCAGTAAAAATCTCAATTCAAATTTTTTTAATTCTGTGATTACATATATTAGGTTATAGTATTGAAAGTGTTCACACACACACACATATATGTGTGGATGTAAAAATATATAGAAAATAGGAAAGAACTCGTTACGTAAATAATCCAAAGTTCTTTGGTATTTTTTATTATTTTTTTTATTATTATATTTAAAAAAAAAACAGTGTTCGATACAAAAGTAGAGCCTAAATATAATTATTTATTTAAAAGATATTCCATCGCTACATAAAAAGTTCTCATGTTTCAAAAACAAGTGCCGAAAACTTCAATATAATTATTTGAATTAAATTGAATTAAAGTACCAAGCTCTGTTCCATCTTTCAAGAGAAATTTTTTGAATAATTAATTTTGAAATTTACGCGTTTTATAAACATATTCTTTATTAAAATTAAAATTACTATGGTAACGGCTAGAGCAATTATTTAAAAAAAAAGGGCGTAAGGGTTAATAATTTGTATCAATATATATATATATATATATATATATATATATAATATATATATATATATATATATATATCAGGCGGCATTTGTCTATATCTTGAGGAAGGCTCTTGATTGGGCCTTCAGTTTGTTGACGGAAGTTTGAGAGTCCCTAATTTTTTGCATATTCTCAGTATTGGAAGTTCTACTGCTGCCGTTTGATCAGGGTTGCACGGAACTTTCTTTTCCTCGCTGCAGCCTTAGTCTTTTGGTTGCAACCTGATCCTCAGTTGGCGGAGAATTCTTTTTGGGAGGCATATTACTGCTGTATAGGATAGGCAACAATAAACTACAGAAGAACTCAAAATTGATCGCCGCATTTAAGTATTGCATTAATATTTAGCTTACCTTTTTAAGTTCAATGATAATTCTTCTACGCTATTTTAATTCAAAGAAAATTTGATGTATGTAGGCTCTTACCTTCTACAAACAATTACTTTTATTTCATGAGTGACTTTCGCTGGATTTCACAAGAAATTTTGACTATTCAAAATTTAATTTCGATTATTACAAAATTTATTTCCAAGTTATAAAAATTGTTATCGTAAAATAAATTTCGTCGCAAAAAAACGTAAAAAGCTCGTATGATATGTTAGGCTACGACCTCTAGGAGTAAAGTTGAAAAGTTTGACACACTGACACATTCGCCTTTTATTTATATTGAAGAAGAAAAGATTTTTAAAAGTTAGAGAGTGGTTTCCCTTTAATTGGAAAAGTGCGACACAGACATTTTCGCATTATATATATATATATATATATATATATATATATATATATATATATGTATGTATGTAAGCATTCAACCCCACAAAGGCGGGAAGCCATTAGCATGCAAAGGGTTACAGAGTAGGAGCGAGAATAAAGAGGAGGATAGAGGAAAGGATGAAGAGAAGGTTAGGTGATAGATCAGGGCAACTGGGGACGTTGATTGACGTTACATTTGAATAGTTGGAGATTATAGTTATCAGGAAAACAAGAAATGGAGAGGGATTTCCACAGGCAAGAAATGCGAGACATCAAGCTATTGGAGTAGAAGAGGCGGCTACATTTAACAGTTTCGACAGTGAAATGGGTGAGAGCGAGATGACAACCTAGTTGAACGCTTAAATTTATGAAGTCTGGGAACCAGCGAAATCAGCTCATCGGAGCAGTTACAGTGAAAATATTTGTAAAAAAGACAGAGAGAGAGGCAACGGCTGCAGACAAGATGCCAGATCAGGGCCAATTACATTGCATATCCGTCTTTTGGATTTCATCAGGACCTTGAGACAATTTGTTGGGGCGCACCCACCTTCTAACTAGTAATGGACTGGTCCCTCTTATATAAGTCAGCTCTAAAGAGAGAGAGTGACAGAGCGTCAGAGAGAAAGAGTCAGCAGTCCAGATAAGCTTACCCGGTACATACCGTTGGACTATAGATTTTGGATATTGTTTCGTACTAACCAACCTTCGTTCTACTAATCACTCTATTGTTAATTGCTTTTATGAATATACCAGTATTTTCCTCTACAACTGTGTTTGTCTTGATTCATACACCGACACGCGGGAAAGTCACAACATCTCAACACAATTAGAAGGGGCTCCAGACCCTATATGGCAGCAATACTCCATGCAAGGGCGAATGGTTGATTTGTAGATTTGAAGGATCGACTCCGACGAGAAAAATTTCCTGGCGCGGCACAGGGAGCCAACTTGCCTTGCGGTGGACGAAGCTATTGACTCAACGTATTCGTTCCATCTAAGGTCAGCGGACAATGTGAGACCGAGCAGTCGCAAAGAGGTGCTTTCGTGGAAGTGAGCGTCAGACATTCTAATGGGAGGCAGGGATGGTTCCCTCTGGTGAGAAATAGAGAGCAGCTTTGTGTTTGAGGCATTAAAGTTAACCAGCCAATTTCTGCCCCAGTCCACAACCGATTGGAGGTCCTTTTCAAGACTAACGGCCACGCGCTAGTTTTGTCGGCGACACTACTAGATTTGTCTTAGTGGCAGGAGTAAATAGTAGTGTCGTCCGCATAGATGCCTACTTGGGAATCTATGACATCAGGAAGATCGTTAATGAAGATAAGGACCAGAGTAGGGCCAAGGATAGAGCCTGAGAAACACCTACGTTCGTGGGATAGGAGCTGCAGGAGAATCGACCTTCAATGTACAGTTCGACAGGGACGATTGCATTGTCGAACAATCGAACTGTAATTCCATAACCCAAAGCTTGCGAAGAAGGTCAAGGACAAACCCTATGAAACGCTTTGGATATATATATATATATATATATATATGTTTGTATATATATATATATATATATATATATATATATATATATATATATATATATATATATATATATATATATATATATTTATATATATATATATATATATATATATATTATATATATATATATATATATATATATATATATATATTTATATATTTATATATGTATATATAATAAATGCAAAATATATATAAATTTAAATTTGTGCTTTCTTTTTTTATTTGATATGTAGAATTGTAAATTCAAACTTTTATTTTCAAAGTGTGATTTTTATAGTGTCTATGAAAGAAGATTTAGTAAAAGCCAGTTTTCGTCGATTCTTATTTGTATTTTATCATAGTCTAACTGAATGATTTTTGAACATGCAAAAGAACAATCGCGTAAA